CCAGGATGGTCTCGATCTCTTGACCTTGTGATCCACCCGCCTCGGCCTCCCAAAGTGCTGGGATTACAGGCTTGAGCCACCGCACCCAGCCCTAGTTTTTGTATTTTTAGTAGAGACGGCATTTCACCATGTTGGCCAGGATGGTCTCGATCTCTTGACCTCGTGATCCGCCCGCCTCGGCCTCCCAAAGTGCTGGGATTACAGGCTTGAGCCACCGCGCCTGGCTCTATGTTGTTTCTTAATTTTTTCTCCAATAATTCCCTTCACTTGTTTGTTGAGGGGTGGGCGGGAACACAGGGTGGGTTATAATCAAATATTTAATTGCTCAGGTGGAAAGCCCAGTGATAAAACAAATTACCCTTCTCTGATTCCTTTTAAAGCCAGTAGGCAAATTGGTTACCTAGAAACACACTGACTTATGACCAACCCCCTTCTTAATTTACCAAGGTCAACACATATGAAACCATAGATCCGTTGACAAGTCTTCCTGGAATTATAATAGATTTATACAGGTTAATGTTCTCAGATTATGAGGCTCAGAGGAAGAAGCCAAGTCTAAAGGGGAAAAAGCCACACACACATATATATATATTTTATATATATATTAAAAAAATTGGCTTTTGTGTCAGCATGGCACTTCTGTCAGTTGCTGACTGCACTGGTAAGAATGGGTAGAACGGCGGAGGAAAAGGAAATGCAGTTATCTTTGAAGCCAACGGATTTTCTCAAAACTTAACATTGGAAGACAAAGTTCTGTACTTCTAGAAAGCCTCCTAAGAAAAACAATATACACCTTCTTTAAAAAAAATTAAAATTATCCTTGAGAGTCTCTCCTTATTTTGAATCCTGTTTCATTTCACTGGAGTTTCATATGCTGTATATCACCTAGTTAAGAGATGCCAACCAACAATTCCTAACATACATGTTAAATCTTTTGGAGACGGAGTCTTGTTCTGTTGCCAAGGCTGGAGTGCGGTGGCATGGACTCTGCTCACTGCAACCTCTGCCTCCTGGGTTCAAGCAATTTTCCCATCTCAGTTCCCCAAGTAGATGGGACTACAGGTGTGCACCACCAGGCCCAGCTAATTTTTAAATTTTTATTATTTATTTATTTTTTATTGCATTTTAGGTTTTGGAGTACATGTGAAGAACATGCAAGACTGTTGCATAGGTACACATGTGGTAGTGTGATTTGCTGCCTTCCTCCCGATCCCCTATATCTGGCATTTCTCCCTATGCTATCTCTCCCCAACTCCCCACCCCCCGCTGTCCCTCCCCTATTTCCCCTAGACAGACTTCAGTGTGTGATGCTCCTCCGCTTCGTCCATGTGTTCTCATTGTTCAACACCCACCTATGAGTGAGAACATTCGGTGTTTGATTTTTTTTTTTCTTGTGTCAGTTTGCTGAGAATGATAGTTTCCAGGTTCATCCATGTCCCTACAAAGGACATGAACTCATCATTTTTGATGGCTGCCTAATATTCCACGGTGTATATGTGCCACATTTTCCCTGTCCAGGCTATCATCAATGGGCATTTGGGTAATTTTTTTATTTTTAATAGAGACAGGGTTTCACCATGTTGGCCAGGCTGGTCTTGAACTCCTGACCTCAAGTGATTCACTCATCTCAGCCTTCCAAAGTGCTGAGATTATAGGCATGAGCCACTGCACCCGGCTTCATACATGTTAATTCTTGAAAAACTGCAATTCATTTAGAAACTCAAATTTTACTTTCTTCTCCTATGCCTTCATAGTGACAATAACTTTTTTCATTGACATAATATCTCAGGAGACTGAGTTGGTGACGCCCGAGGATTGTCAGGAGAAATTGGTGAGCCCCTGAGCACAAGAAAACCTACCCAGGGATTTGCCTTCAACCCCATCTTCCTAGTCACACTCTTCTGAGGGGCTCCCTCATGGAACTTTTCAGGCCACCATTATCTTGGGAGACTCCTGGTACAAAATGACAGAGGTCTGAGGCAAATTTATATTTACACAACAGAACACCTGTATTAAAATGAAATTTTATGGCTGGCCACAGTGGCTCACGCCTGTAATCCCAGCACTTTCGGAAGCTGAGGTGGGTGGATCACCAGAGGTTGAGACTAGCCTGGTCAACATGGTGAAAACCTGTCTCTACTAAAAATACAAAAATTAGCAGGGCATGGTGGCACAGCTATTCAGGAGGCTGAGGCAGGAGAATTGCTTGAGCCTGGGAGGTGGAGGTTGCAGTGAGTCAAGATCACATCACTGCACTCCAGCCTGGCTGACAGAGCCAGACTGTCTCAGTAAATAAAAAGAAAAAAAGAAATTTGCTAGGTCTAGTCTTCTAAATTCTAGGTTGAGGTTTAGTAGAGCACAGTGGCAAACTCTGCTAGTACAACTTTAACTGCCTCACTTCATTTTTGACTGGAAATTACAGGCTACAGAAATATGTATCTGCAACTTGAGAAAAACCCACATAAATGCAGAAGTGTATAGAGATAATACAAAGGTCTCCCTCGATCTTCCTCTCTCCTACCTGAATCTTGCTCTCCTTGCCAGGTGACGATGGCTCAGAGCTTAGTGAAGACACTTTCTTTTATGGATTTACGTAGAATTCTCGCCAAAGCTGTTGGGCCAGTGGTAAAATTTTGAATTATAAACAAAGTGAAAACAATTTCCAGGTTCATAAAATTATCCTATAAACACATAAAATTAAAACAAAAGCTTCATTACTCATATCCTGTATTTTATTTCTTATGAAAATGGCTACCCAAAGAAGTCATTGTAACAGCCTACCATTTCAAGGCAGCAACTATAACTTAAATGCTAACGGACTCACTCCATAAGACAGAAAGCCCTTCCCCAGGGCTGAAATGGGCATTTAAATTTCCCAAACCCAGTGACAACTGATAATTTTTATTATCTATCAAATAGAAACAAATGGATTTTATAGTTCCTCTACAGCTGAAAAACGCCACAAACAATAATTGACTCTACCTCCATGATCCGCTGACTTATGCCAGAAATGGCACTAAAACACAATTGTGATGTTCAAACTGGGCTCTGGCTGCCTCTGGGGGTTATTTGGTGTTATGCCAAGGCCTGTTGCCAGCGACATGGTGAATATACTGGCTTTATAGACAGCAACTTTACTTGAGGCTAAATAATCACGTATTTATTTTTCTTAAAAGGTTAACCATAAGCTTTTCCCAACTGAAATATACAGAAAACCCCAATGTATGAAACAACTCTTAGGCCCTGGTGTTGGCAGCGGTAGTTGGCTGACATGTCCTCCCCGCAGGCTCCCTGTCCTACCTGGGGGCGTGTGGCCCCTTCCCCTCTGGTGAACCCTGGGGAAATGGTTGGCACCCTCAGCCTTACTGCCTTCTAATCTCAGCACAAAGACTGGACATTCTGCCTGGGACACAAAAAGGTCTCTCAAAGACGTCCAAGAGTCACCAGTGTGACTGTCCTTCCTGCGTGTCCTCCTTTCGGGTAAATAAGAGTAGCACAGCTGGGATTTCATGTGCCGAAGTCCAGCTCTTTACATCTAGACTTTTTGGGCTTTTCAGTCTTGTTGGTAGTAATACATTTCAACAAATTAATACTTCTATTGTGTTTGTGTAGCACTGAGACCTAGTGGCATCTCACTTTTACACTGCAGTAAACGGCAGTATATGTCCCCAAACTGTGAGAAGCTGCTGAATGTTCCCAAACAGCACCCTGTTCCCTATTCTGGTTTCTGAATATTCTGGTTCTTTTTCTTTTCTGTATATTCTTCTAGTCGAAGAAGCCACTTGGCCCAGTACTGGGAACAGAGCTCCTCATCCATGAAATGTGGGTGGGCAGGAGATCCATCTTTGTAGGCCACCACAATTAAACCACACTGCACCTACGAGGAAACACAGGGCAATTCTCATTTCACTGCAGTAGGTCCAGAGTTCAGGTTCATTTCCTTCTTACTCCAGGGCAAACTCAGTAGAAAAAAATCTACAGGCTATCTCCTAACTCAATTTCTAAGGCGGGTTGATCAAAGACTGCACCAGGACACAAGAACACAAAGATGACAGATAAAACACTGCAGGGTGGAAAAATGCTTTTTTTTTCTTTTTTGAGACAGGGTCCCACTCCCATTGTCCAGGCTGGAGTGCAATGGTGCAGTCTCGGCTCACCACAGCCTCAACTTCCCGAGCTCAGGTGATCCTCCCACCTCAGGACTCCTGAGTAACTAAGGTGGGCACCACCACTTCTGGCTGATTTTTCACATTTTTCATAGTGATGGGGTTTTGCCACGTTTCCCAAGCTGGTCTGGAACTCCTAGGCTCAAGCAATCTGCCCACCTTGGCCTCTCACCTCAGCCTCTTTCAAAGTGCTGGGGTTACAGGCATGAGTCACCACACCCGGCCAAAAGTGCTATTTATTTATTTATTTATTTATTTATTTAGAGACAGAGTCTTGCTCTGTTGCTTAGGCTAGAGTGCAGTAGTGCGACCTTGGCTCACTGCAACCTCTGCCTCCTGGGTTCAAGAGATTCTCCTGTCTCAGCCTCCTGAGTAGTTGGAACTACAGGTGTGTGCCAACATGCCTGGCTAATTTTTGTATTTTTAGTAGAGACAGGTTTCGCCATGTCGGCTAGGCTGGTCTTGAACACCTGACCTGAGATGATCTTCCCACCTCGGCCTCTCTAAGTGCTGGGATTACAGGACTGAGCCACTGCGAACAGCCTATTTGTTTATTTTTGAGACAGGATCTTGCTCTATCGCCCAGGCTAGAGTGTGGTGGCACAATCTCAGCTCACTGGAACTTCCACATCCTGGGCTCAAGCAATCCTCCCACCTCAGCCTCCCAAGTAGCTGGCACCATTGGTGCGTGCCACCATGCCCAGCTAATTTTTATGAGTTCTTGTAGAGATGGGGTTTCACTATGTTTCCCAGACTGGACTCGAACTCTGAGCTCAAGCAATCTGCCTGTTTCGGCCTCCCAGAGTGCGTGAGCCACTGTACCCAGCCAAAAAGTGCTTTTTTAAGTGGGAGAGGAACAAGGAACAGATCAAGTAGTGGGATAAAAATAGAGATTAAAAAAAAAAATAGAGTAAAACCCTAAGAAGTTATATGTATTTTTTTAACTTTTTTTTTTTTTAAAAACAATTTTTCTCCTCCTCCCTGCAACCAAGGAGTTATAGTTTTGTTGCTGTTGTTCTTTGAGACAGATTTGAGACAGAATCTCACTCTCCTGCCCAGGGTGGAGTGCAGCGGCACAATCTTGGCTCACTGCAACCTCTACCTTCCTGGTTCAAGTAATTCTCCTGCCCCAGCCTCTGGATTAGCTGGGACTACAGGTGTGAGCCAGCACGCCCAGCTAGTTGTTAAATCTTTGTAGAGATGGGGTTTCACCATGTTGGCCAGGCTGGTCTCGACCTCCTGACCTCAAATGATGTACCCACCTCAGCCTCCCAAAGTGCTGGGATTACAGGTGTGAGCCACCACACCCAGCTGGAGTTACAATTGACGAGTAAGCACTGAACAAAGCTTTAAGTAGAGGCTCAGCGTCCTGACCTGAAAGCTGTACTTGGTGTCATGGTTCACGGCACCCATGTACGCCACTACTTGCAGTGGGTTGTCAAATGTATTTCGAAGAAGAGGCTTTGGTTTCTCTGATGTCTTCCAGTCAATCACACACAGCTTGCCCCTAAAGAGAAACCACAGGAATACTTTGTAGGTAATAGATCAAACTGAAAATCTCTACTAGGTTAACCCTCCTCTTACGTATAGTTTGTTACTTGTCACCCAATGACTACTGCTCCTATTTGCCATTTTTTTTTACTTTTTCTTTTTTTTAAGAGATGGGGTTTCATATGTTGCCCAGGCTAGACTCATACTGCTAGACTCAAGTGATCCTCCCACCTCAGCCTCCCGAATAGCTGGGACTTCAAGCGTACCCCACCACTTTTTCTTTTTTTTATTTTTGCACCAAATAATCAGTGGATTCCTCCCCTCTACCCCTATCCTGGTGGGGTTTATACTTGCCAAATGCAGACATCAAAAGGAACACAGGGAGTGGACTAATAACCGGTGACTCTCAAAGGGCTCTACCAGTTCCATCTGTCTTTCATTCAGTTTCAAAATCAGCAGTTTATAGGGAGATTTTGTACATACAGCATGTACATTACTTACATGTCACTATAGCTCTAGACAATTAGAACTCATGCAAAATCAGTCTAGAGCAGCACTGGCTAAAAGAAAGAAAATGCGAGGCACGTGTCATTTTAAATTTTGTAGTAGCCACATCACAAAAGATAAAAAAATACAGGTGAATTTTTTTTTTTTTTTTTTTTGGAGATGGAGTCTCACTCTGTTGCCCAGACTGCAGCACAATGGCACGCTCTCGGCTCACCCCAACCTCCGCCTCCTGGATTTAAGTGATCCTCCTGCCTCAGCCTCCTGAGTAGCTGGGATTACAGGCGCATGGCACTACGCCTGGCTAATTTTGCATTTTTAGTAGAGACCAGGTTTCATCATGTTGGTCAGGCTAGTCACCTACTCCTGACCTCATGATCCACCCGCCTCAGCCTCCCAAAGTGCTGGGATTACAGGTGTGAGCCACTGCACCCAGACACAGTGAAATTTTAACATTTTACTTAACCCTAACATATCCAAAATATCATTTCAACATGTAATCAACATAACAAATTATTAATGGAATATTTTACATTCTTTTTTTGTACCAAGTCACTGAAAACTAGTTTGTATATTGTTACAGCACACGTTAGTTTGGCCTGATCAGATTTAAATGCTAATAGATATAGGTGTTTAGTGGCTACTCTACTGGACAGTGCAGGCTTAGAGATAATTTTATTGTCTTTATAATTGTTTTGTAATATTGCCAAGTTTGACAATCTCTGTAATTGAGGAAAGAGCCACAGTAAATCTAGGAGGCTGCCATTCCTGGTTCTTTTTTCTTTTTTTTCAGATGGGAGTCTTACTCTGTCACCCAGGCTGGAGTGCAGTGGCACAATCTTGGTTCACTGCAACCTCCACCTCTTGGGTTCAAGTGATTCTTCTGCCTCAGCCTCCTGAGTGGCTGGGATGACATGTGTGCCACCTCACTCAGATAATTTTTGTATTTTTAGTACAGACGGGGTTTCACTGTGTTGGTCAGGCTGCTCTCGAACTCCTGACCTCAAGTGATCCACCCAACTCAGCCTCCCAAACTGCTGGGATTACAGGCATGAGCCACCGTGCTACATTTCTGCCACAGACCACTGTTTGCAGCAATGTACTGTCATTGTAGAACACAATAAGTGTAAAAAAAAAAACATTAATAGCATTCTGTAAACTGTAAAATATTGATGAAAGAAACTGAAAATGATACAAATAAATGGTAAGATATCCTGCTATGGACTGGAATTAATATTGTTAAAATGTCCATACTATCCAAAGCAATCTATAGAGTCAACGCAATCTCCATCAAAATTCCAATGGCAGGCCGGACATGGTGGCTCACATCTGTAATCCCCAATACTTTGGGAGGCTAAGGCAGGCAGATTGCTTGAGCTCAGGAGTCCAAGACCAGCCTGGGCAACATGGTAAACCCTGTCTCTACAAACAATACCAAAAAATCAGCCAGGTGTTGTGGCTGTAGCCTGTTGTCCCAGCTACTTGGGAGGCTGAGGTAGGAAGATGACTTGAGCCCGGGAGGTGGAGTTTGCCATGAGCCGAGACTGCATCACTGCACAACAGCCTGGGTAACAAAGCCAGACCCTGTCTCAAAATTAAAAAAAAATTCCATCATAATTTTTCACAGAAATAGAAAAAAAAATCCCAAAATTCACATGAACCACAAAAGACTCAGAATAGCCAAAGCAATCTTCAGTAAAAAGAACGAAGCTGGAGGCATGACATTCCCTGATTTCAAAGTACAGTCATGCGTAGCTTAATGACAAGGATACGTCCTGAGAAATGCGTGGTTAGGCGATTTTGTCATTGTGCAAACGTAGAGTATATTACACAAACCTAGGGAGGATAGTACCACACACCCAGACCTTTGCTCCTAGGCTCAAACCTGTACAGCATGTACAGTATTCAGCATGTACTGAATACTGCAGGCAACTGTAATACAGGGGTAAGCGTTAGTGTATCTACATACATCTAAACATAGAAAAGGTACAGTAAAAATATGATATAAAAGATAAAAAATGGTACACTTATACAGGACTGGAAGTTGCTCTGGGCAACTGAGTGAGTGAGTGAGTGGTGAGTGAATGTGAAAGCCTGGGACATTACCACAGACTACTGTAGACTTTAAACACTGTACACTTAGGCTACACTAAATTTATAAAAATGTTTTTCTTTCTTCAATAATAAATTAACTTTAGCTTACTGTAACTTTTTTACTTTGTAAACTTCTTTAATTACTTAATTAATTAATTTTGAGATGGAATTTCATTCTTGTTGCCCAGGCTGGAGTACAATGGCATACTTTCAGCTCACTGCAACCCCTGCCTCCCAGGTTCAAGTGATTCTCCTGCCTCGGCCTCCCGAATAGCTGGGATTACAGGCATGTGTCACCACGCCTGGCTAATTTTGTATTCTTAGCAGAGATGGGGTTTCACAATGTTGCTTAGGCTCGTCTCGAACTCCTGACCTCAAGTGATCCACCTGTCTCAGTTTCCCAAAGTGCTGGGATTACAGGTGTGAGCCACCATGCTCTGCCTCTTTCTTTATATCTTTATTCTACATGCTTTTTCTATTATTATTTGTTACTTTTAAAACTTTTGTTAAAAACTAAGACACACACACATTAGCCTAGGCCTACATAGGGGTAGGAGCATAGTAAATACACAAGCCAATAATAGTTATTATCATTATCAATTATATACTGTACTGTACATAATGGTATGTGCTGTTTTTATATGACTGGTAGAATAGTAGGTTTGTTTATACCAGCATAACCATAAATACGAGTATTATGTTGAACTATAACATTACGTCACTAGGTGATAGGTGGTCTTCAGCTCCATTATAATCCTGTGGGACCACTGTTGTACATGCAGTCTGTCGTTGACTGAGACATTGTTACGTGGAACATGGCTGTATATGGTAAAGCTGTTGTATTCGAACAGCATGATAATGGCATAAAAAGAGACACAATAAACCAACGGAACAGGACAGACAGCCCAGAAACAAATCTATGAATTTACAGTCAATTAATTTTCAATAAAGGTGCCAAGAACAAACAACGGGGAGTATCTTGACAATTACGTTAGGAAAACTGGATGTCGACTTGCATAAGAATGAAATCGTACTCAATCTCATACCATATACAAAAATCAACTTAAAATTAAAGACTTAAACGTAGTGCTGAAACTGTAAAACTACTAGAAAAAATAACGTGAGAAAAGCTCCACGACACTGATCGGAGCCATGATTTCTCAGATAGAAGCCTGAAAACACAGGTAACAAAAGCAGAAACACACAAATGCATCAAAAAGCTTCTGCATAACAAAGGAAACAATTAACAGAATGAAGGCACAACCCGCAGGAGCTAAACGAATATTTCTTTTTTTTTTTTTTTTTTCGGAACGGAGTTTTGCTCTTGTTACCCAGGCTGGAGTGCAATGGCACAATCTCGGCTCACCGCAACCTCCGCCTCCTGGGTTCAGGCAATTCTCCTGCCTCAGCCTCCTGAGTAGCTGGGATTACAGGCACGTGCCACCATGCCCAGCTAATTTTTTGTATTTTTAGTAGAGACGGGGTTTCACCATGTTGACCAGGATGGTCTCGATCTCTTGACCTCGTGATCCACCCGCCTCGGCCTCCCAAAGTGCTGGGATTACAGGCTTGAGCCACCGCGCCCGGCCACGAATATTTCTTAAAAGAGGACATGAATGGCCAACAGATAGATGAAAAAATGCTCAACATCTCTAATCATTAGTGAAAAGCAAATCAAAATCACACTGAGCTGTTACCTTATGCCTGTTAGAATGGCTATTATCAAAAAGACAAAAGTGTTGGTGAGGATATGCAGAAAAAGAGAACCCTGGTACACTGTTGGTGGGAATGTAAATTAGCTAAGCCATTTGAGAAAACATCATAGAGGTGCCTCAGAAAACTAAAACATCTAAAAACTAAAACCAGAACTACCATATGATCTAGCAATCCTACTTTTGGGTATACAGCCAAAGGAGTTAAAATCAGTATGTGGAAGAGACATCTGCAATCCCCAGTTCACTGCAGCATTATTCACAGCAGCCATGATGTGGAAACAACCTAAGTGTCCATCTAGGGATAAATGGATAAAGAAAATGTGGAGATACATATATATATATACACACAGATACACACAACAGAATACCACATAGCCTTTAAAAACAAGGAAATTCTGTCATCTGTGACATGGGTGAACATGGTGGACATTTTGCTGAGCGAAATAAGCCAGGCACAAAAAGACAAATACTGTATGATTTCACTTACATGTGAAATCGAAAAAAGTTGAAGTCGGAAGTAGGGAGAGTAGAATGGTAATTATAAGAGAATGGAGATGGGGAGTGGGGAAGGGGAAAGGGGAGATGCTGATAAAAGGTACAAGGTTTCAGTTAGGTTGGAAGAATAAATTTTAGTGATTTGTTGCACAGCGCAGTGACCACAGTTAATAATAATACATATTTAGAAGTTGCTAGAAGAGATTCT